CCCCTGGATGTCGCCTGAGGTGATCCTGGCCATGGACGAGGGCCAATATGACGGCAAAGTGGACGTCTGGTCTTTGGGCATCACCTGCATCGAACTTGGTAACGGCTCTCCGCCGTCCGTGTTTTTTTGCAAGCGCGCCAAAGTCTCTGCGCCGAGCCGCCCAAATCACGCCGCTCGTCGTCGTTTGTTTCCGTCGCAGCCGAGAGGAAGCCGCCCTTGTTCAACATGAACGCCATGAGTGCCTTATATCACATCGCGCAGAATGAGAGTCCCACGCTGCAGTCCAGCGAATGGTACGTACGCATTTTGATGCCCCTCCCCCAAAAAGAAGCGGGCGGCCTCCTGCCACCTGCGTGGTTGCACGCTTGCCCAAAAACCTTTTCATCCTAAAGTTAAATCGTGTCACTCTCGCAGGACCGATTACTTCCACAACTTCATCGACTCTTGCCTTCAAAAAATCCCACAAGACCGGCCGCACTCGTACGACATGCTGGGCGTAAGACGCACGCACACACACACACACAAATGGGAGGGGTGGGGGGGACAAAAGCGTCGTATGTTTTTTTTTTTTTTTTAAATATGACACATTTGACTACAAAAAAACATGTGTGGACAAAATGTGGGTTTAGTTTTGTTTTTGTTTTGTTTTTTTTTCGGGACTTTGCCACTTCATTTGCCATTCAAACGAGATCCGTTGCTTCTTTTAGCAACAAAATGGGTTGATTTTTAACCATCCAAATCTGGATTTGTTTTCTAAGACGGCCACAAAAATGAGACCGAAAGCTTGTTTTGTTTTCTTTCTTTCTTTTTTTTGCAATGAAAATGTCCCATTTCGGAAGAGCACCGAGAGCAACGGTTCATTTGCAAGCAGGTCTTCGACGCGAGTGGAGAGAAAGCGGAGCGTCATTTCCGGGAAAAAGAAGTCACGCGCGTGTTCTCCTCTCGTCCCGCAGCACGCGTTCATGCAGCGCGAGCGTCCCGCCTCGGTCCTGATGGACCTCATCATGAGGACCAAGGACGCCGTGCGCGAGCTGGACAACCTGCAGTACCGCAAGATGAAGAAGATCCTCCTGCAGGAGGCCCACAACGGACCGGCGCCGGAAGCGCCCGACCCGGACGAGGTGGGGAAAGAGACGCACGCGCGCCGTCGCGCACTTAGCCCTCGATCGCCCCGACCCAGTCGGGGAAAACGCCGGCCCGCTTCGTGCCGAGGCACAAAATGCCCCCGACGAGCCAACGACGCGAGCGTCCGCATTGCAGTGAAGCGATGAATCCCGGAAGTCGGGCTGCGACGGACGCTGAGACCCGGAGAGGGCGATTGCCGCCGCCCGCGCGGTGAAAATAAGCCGCAGCCTGCTTTTCACGAGCCTCAAATTTTTTCTTTTCTTTTTTTTTTAATGGTTAATGCCAAAACCGGTGCGATCGATACGGCGCCGACGGCCTTGATTTTCGCGTCTGACGGGTGCGCGTGTTCAGGAGCCGGAGGCGGGCGGCGGGCGCGCCGGCACGGTGAACAGCGTGGGCAGCAACCAATCCATCCCCAGCATGTCCATCAGCGCCAGCTCGCAGAGCAGCTCCGTCAACAGCCTCAACGACGGCGCCCACGACAGCCGCAGCGAGCTGGACCTCATGGACGGCGACCACACCGTCATGTCCAACAGCTCCGTCATACACCTCAAACCCGTAAGCGCCGTTGGAAAAACCCGGCAGCGTCCTCAAACGCAATTTTGGCGTACGTTTTGCCGGAAGGCGCGACGTTGACAAGGCGTGTCGCGTTGTCAGGATGAAGAGGAGGCTTTCTCGGGCGACCAAGCCTCGGCGGGCGGCCAACCGACGGAGGCTCAGGTCTCGACGGCGGCGGCGGCGGCGCGTCCCAGGAAGCATCAGCGCAACCGAGAGCACTTTGCCACCATCCGCACCGCCTCCCTGGTAAGACAAAGCGCACGCCCACCTTGACCTTGACCTTGACCTTGACCTTGACCGCACCTGCCCACCAATCATCCTGGCGTTTGCAGGTGACGCGCGAGATGCAGGAGCACGAGCAGGACTCGGAGCTGCGTGAGCAGATGTCGGGCTACAAGCGCATGCGGCGGCAGCACCAGAAGCACCTGCTGGCGCTGGAGAACAAGTTGAAGGGCGAGATGGACGAGCACCGCCTGCGTCTGGACAAGGAGCTGGAGGGCCAGCGCAGCAACTTTGCCCAGGAGATGGACAAGCTGCTCAAGAAGCACCACGCCTCGCTCGACAAGGACGTAAGTGGCCGCCGCCGCCGACGACGATCTCACCGGGCGGCGCGCATGCTCACCTGGCGTGTCGGCGCGCAGCTGAAGACCTTCGCCACCGACGAGAAGAAGTTCCAGCAGCACATTCAGCTGCAGCAGAAGAAGGAGCTGGGCGGCTTCCTGGAGTCGCAGAAGCGCGAGTACAAGCTGCGCAAGGAGCAGCTCAAAGAGGTTTGCGCTCTCGCTCTCTCTCCCGCTCTCGTCCCGCGCCTCGTCGTCTCTCACCGGCCGGCGCCGCCTCCCGCAGGAGCTGAGCGAGAACCAGTCCACCCCCAAGAAGGAGAAGCAGGAGTGGCTGTCCAAGCAGAAGGAGAACATCCAGCACTTCCAGGCCGAGGAGGAAGCCAACCTGCTGAGGAGGCAGCGGCAGTACCTGGAGCTGGAATGTCGGCGCTTCAAGCGCAGAATCCTCATCGCCCGCCACAACGTGGAGCAGGACCTCGCCCGAGAGGTTCGACACACAAACGCGCACGCACACACGCATTTCGGGGAAGGGCGCGGGGCCCCGGCGGAGACCGATTCGTTGACCGGCGGGCGGCGGGCTTCCCAGGAGCTGAACAAGCGTCAGACGCAGAAGGACCTGGAGCACGCCATGCTGCTGCGGCACCACGAGTCCATGCAGGAGCTGGAGTTCCGGCAGCTGGCCGGCATCCACAAGGCGCGCGCCGAGCTCATCCGCACGCAGCACCAGACCGAGCTCACCAACCAGCTGGAGTACAACAAGAGGAGGGAACGAGAGCTCCGCCGCAAGCACTTTATGGAGGTTCGCCAACAGCCCAAGAGCCTCAAGGTACGCGCGCACAAACATACACACGACCTCCCCCCCAAAAAAAAAAAAAAACCTGCGCCCACTGGATTTGCCTCGGCTCGTGTGTGCGTGTGTGTGTACCTGCAGTCCAAGGAGCTCCAGATCAAGAAGCAGTTCCAGGAGACGTGCAAGACTCAGACCCGGCAGTACAAAGCCCTGCGCAACCACCTTCTGGAGAGCACGCCCAAGTGCGAGCACAAGGCGCTGCTCAAGAGGCTCAAGGAGGAGCAGACCCGCAAGTTGGCCATCCTGGCCGAGCAGTACGACCACTCCATCAACGACATGCTCTCCACGCAGGCGGTGAGTGACTCGCAACGCGCCGCCTTCAAATGGGGAGGCGCCAAAGACCGGCCATTTATCTGCGGCCCGCGACGTGACCCCGAAAAACGTCTGACCCTGAAAAAAATGACACTTGACATGGACCGCCCCAAAAAAAAAGACAAAAAAAGAGAGATGGGCCGTCGAACTCTTGGCTATATCCCAAACAGCACAGTGAATCAAGATCATTCCAGTTTAAAATAGTTTCTTCCACTTTGCGCTCGACGATGTCAGGAAGATGTCGCATGATATGTGTGTGTGCGTGTGTGTGTGCGTGTGGCAGCTGCGTCTGGATGAGGCTCAGGAAGGCGAATGTCAGGTTCTGCGCGTGCAGCTGCAGCAGGAGCTGGAACTGCTCAACGCTTACCAGAGCAAAATCAAAATGCAGACGGACGCTCAGCACGACAAAGAGCGGCGCGACCTGGAGCAGAGAGTCAGCCTCAGGAGGGCGCTGCTGGAGCAGAAGGTGACCCCGACCGAGGAGGAGGAGGAGGAGGAGGAGCTAAGCTTTCGGGCTGCGCGGTGGAGCCAGATTGATCCGATTTGCCGTATTTCACCACCACATTTGGATCGTCTCACCAAAGAATCGCAGTTGCTTCGGGCGGCAAAAGAAGCAAGCATAAATTGGAACCGCGCGGACCGATTCAGCACCAGAAACCGAGGGCGGCGTATCGATGTCCAGTGACGGCAGCAGACGTTTCCCGGTCCGTGATGGAAAAATGTGTTTGTCTGTGCCCGCAGATCGAGGAGGAGATGCTGTCTCTTCAGAACGAGCGTTTGGAGCGCATCCGTTCACTTCTGGAGCGTCAGGCCCGTGAGATCGAAGCCTTCGACTCCGAGTCCATGAGGCTGGGCTTCAACAACATGGTCCTGGCCAACGTGGCCCTCGACCCGCAGGGCGGCTGGGGCGGGGGCGGGGGCGGCGCCGCCCCAGGGGGCGGCCACTGGCCCGCCGGAGGCGGC